CTGTATTGACAAAAGGCATGATGAGATTATTTTTCGTTATAAAGCCGACGACATGTCAATATTACGTCTTTTTCATTCGACATAATCAAATCTAAAATCTTTTAACAACTGAACTTTTCACCCAATCAAAATGTATCGAATTCCAGCCCATCTTGTCCTCATTGCAACGATTCAAGTCTTAATTTAAAAACTGTGAGAAATTTTATTGACATTAAAACACAAATGTTAGTAAAACTGTAAAAAACGATATTCAGATTTTTCTCCATTTTTATTAAATAAAGATTGTATTTTTTGGTCCAGGGTGAAAAAGGTTTTACATCACAGCAAACTAGAATCAAGCTCTCGATGTTAGTTTATGTCATACCATAAATATGACTTCCTTAAGACTTAAGACTTCCTTGCCATCATGATGTATTTTCATCATGATATTAATTCTCAGAACCGTATCTGCAATCATTCCTAAGATGGTAAAAGACCAAGTAATCTAGAGGTTAAACTTGCAAGGAGTGACAAATACACTAGCAACATTCAGAATAATCTCGGTAAAATTCAAATCAATTTTTAAACGTGACACTTTAGAGGTAGGTTGATGCAATTAAGTTTGCTCTCCTCGATCTGGCTCGCTATTCCCTATGAATCCATTGATCGTATGTTAAGCACAATTGTTGAGACAGTAACATTAAATTCAATGTTTCGAATTCAATGTTTCGCTAGAAACATGGAATTTTGTATCAAATCATATGAAATTAGTGAAATAGTTCGGGGGCTGACGATCGTACAGTGAGAACGATAGTCACTTTACTTATTCAGCATTACTTAATCAGCATTACAAAATCTTTTATTAAATTATTTGCACGTGATTAAAATTTCAGTCCACCTGACATCTACTTAATAAATTTAGACCGACGGCGCAAGAAAACAATTTTTGCTACTCATTCAGACGCATTCATATCTGCGGAGAAAAACTCTTGTTTCTCACCTGCCACGATTTTCTAACAACAAATATTGCTCCAGGCACTGCTCAATTTCTGCACATGAGAACATTTTAAAATGCAGTTTCTGTGAAATTTTTCGTTTACAAATTCAAATATCTCCAAACAATTCTATTTCAAGCGCGAAAAGATGATGAAGTCGTAGTCCTGGCATATAATGGCTAGAATTTTTACAGGTATCTCGCTGCCATGACTTAATGTGAAGAAAGCGATAACGTATAACCAGTAATTGAAGGTGTGAGCGTCGTAAGATGCCAGTGCGTAGCTAGCTTATTATTACAATGCCGTCCTGTAGGCATGTTCAAACGACTGGCTGGACTGCTGGGCAATACAAATTAAACTGATGACTTACTGCAATTGTCCTGGGCAAGAGAATTATCATGCATCATCTTGTAAAAAGTTGGATTTATATCATATTTGTTTTTATTTATAATTATATCTAATTACTATAATTGTTTTGATTTTAATGAGACATTTTTAATTTTGCGAAATAAAACATCAAATTCGAAATAAGATGTAGCAGGGTATTGTGAGTCTATTGATGGACCATAAAAGACTCCATAATTCAACAGCGGATTTTTTTAGTCTGTAAATGGACAATAAAACAATATTATCTAATATTACCTAATCAGTATAACTGTTATAATTTTGACGAGGCATTTTTTATTTGCCGAAATAGAACATCAAATTCGAAATAAGATGTAGCAGCATATTGCGAGTCACTAGATGGATCATAAAAGACTCCATAAGTCAACAGCGGTTTTTTCCTAGTCTGTAAATAGACAATAAAACGTACCACCATGTCACTGCAGATTCATTCATTGTCTGCCAAGAGACCATAAAATTTTTTACTGTTGAAAACCAAAATTACTTGATACCTTGACTTTTCTGATTCATTGGTATATTAATCTATGAAAATTTATTTTTCTTCGCGCTTCTGAAATATATCGAAGCAAACACAAATTATTTTAACGGGTATGAAATATTTTCATACATAATGAAGTAAAAGAGTGATATATTCAAAGCAAACGTCAAGCTTTTGCGGCATTTATTTCATAAACTATATATTACAGGCAGTGTATACGAGAAATAACCGATTACGGTGTTGAATCAAAGTCGGGTTTTGCAACCACAATTCGCTTCGGAGTACGGAAATCAAGTTCCAGCGGTTCAACGGTAGAATTTTTTTTAATCAATATGCTGTTCATCCTTTACGCCTTTTCAGCATCACGTGTTTCCTTTTCTTTACACATATGAATTTTTTAAAGGATTTTTTTGTTATGAATTATCTTGACCAATCCGTTTACTTCCAATGGCGCGCATGTATTATAATGAGAACCAGCAACAGTTCACGTAGCAAACAAAAATAATCAGTAAAATTGCGAAGAGTTGCTGTCTACCGTGGATAAAATTTAAACTTATATATTTATTTTTTGAATATAGACAAGAACTAACAACGTTTGCTTGTGCAAGCAATACGCGCAGCAAATGAACTGTTGGACTTATAAGTGAAAAAATCTTACTTATATATGTATTGTTTAAGTATAGGCGAGAAATAACAATGTTTTTTATGCACGTAGTGCATAAATGAGCTTTTGAACTTATAAGTGAGAAAAAACTTTTATACATTGTTCAAGAATAGACAAGAAATAACAATGTTTGCTTGTACACGCACTACGAGCAGCAAATGAACTTTTGAACTTATAATTCAAAAATTAACTTTTTAATATATTGTTTAAGTATAGACAAGACATAACAATGCTTGCTTGTACGCACAATACGTGCAGCAAATAAACTTATGAACTTATAATTCAAAATGAACTTTTTTATATTGTTTAAGAATGAACAAGACATAACAATATTTGCTTGTACACGCTGTATATACGTGCAACAAATGAACCTATGCATTTATGAATGAAAAATTAACACTTTTATATATTTTTTAAGTATATAGAATAAATAGCAATGTTTGCTTATACACGCCGCAAGTGCAGCAAATGAACCTATACATTCATGAGTGAAAAATTAACACTTTTGAATATTATTTAAATATAGTCAAGAAATAGCAATGTTTGCTTATACACGCCGCAAGTGCAGCAAACATCTTTTGAATTTATAATTAAAAATGAATATTTTTACATATTGCTTAAGTATAAAGATAGCAATGCAATTAATACTTAATAGCAATACTTAAGCAATTGCTTAAGTATAAAGACAGCAAGAATAAATAGCAATGTTTGCTTGTACACGCAAGTGCAGCAAATGAACACTGCCGAGGTGAGACGCCGGCCGCTCAACTGTAAAGACAGCCTGGGGGGCGGCAGCTCCCACGGCCGGCGACGCGGAGGGTCCCATACACAGCTTACTGGCAAGCATCAGCACCTCGTAAGATAAGATGAGACCTCTGTCTTGCTTTACGGTGATTTATACGGTCTGTATTCTGCTCTATGGTCTGTCTTCTGCTGTAATTCATTTATATGGTCTGTCTTCTGCTCTAAGGTCAGTTATCTGGTCTGTCTTTTGCTCTACGGTCATTTATACGGTCTGTCTTCTGCTGTACGGTCATTTATACGGTCTGTCTTCTGCTCTAAGGTCAGTTATCTGGTCTGTCTTTTGCTCTACGGTCATTTATACGGTCTGTCTTCTGCTGTACGGTCATTTATACGGTCTGTCTTCTGCTCTAAGGTCAGTTATCTGGTCTGTCTTTTGCTCTACGGTCATTTATACGGTCTGTCTTCTGCTGTACGGTCATTTATACGGTCTGTCTTCTGCTCTANCCTTCCTATTCATTTTGAATGAATGGAAGCATTCTATGCTAAAAATTGAATTGTATTCTGCCATGATTGGTTTATCATCAGTATTGTCCATTATGAATACGTATACTATTACGTATTATCCATTATGAACAACCTTGCTTGATTTACTATCGGAAAAAGTGTTGTTTGAAGAAACGTTATGTTAATGCCGAGCGGTTCCATATGGAACCAAGCTATAATTTTTCACATACAACGAAAAATAAATATATGAACATACTTTTTGCTTATTACCATCACAAATGATAATATTCTCACAAGGAACCGAAAAAAAAATTCAGAAAATAATTCTCGTCATTAATGGGTTAAGTAATATCAAGATTATTATAATCAAAAGGTCGTAAATGCTTTAAGATAAATGGCATTATCGTGCGATTGGATGAATTACAAAATTATAAAAGTAATATTGAACGCTAAAAAACGTTTACCTTAACATTGTATAGGTAAACATGAACACCGTTATTTACCCATAACCTTCAATTTCCGCATATCCTCATATCCTCATATTCAAAATATAACTGTTATATATCATAGTAACTGTCTCTTATACACATCTCGAGCCCTGGCGACGGATTCGCCCGGAATATTTATTGGGAACTTAGGATAATTCCTGTCTCTTATACACATCTAGATGTGTATAAGAGACAGGTATACTAGTGGTCAGTGGACACTGCACAATGTAGGCAGCAGAGTGTGCAGTGTAGACTATAGAGTACACAGTGAACAGTGTACACTGTAGCTAATGGGGTGTCGCTACATAAGCATAGCGGTCATAGGTTTGCTGCCGCATGTGGACACTGTACAGTGTAGACAGCAGAGTGTGCAGTAGACTGTAGAGTACACAGTGAACAGTGTACACTGTAGCTAATGGGTGTCGCTACATAAGCATAGCGGTCATAGGTTTGCTGCCGCATGTTGGTGCAGCAAAATAAACGTGCATCGGCAACTGCATGAAGGCTTAGCAGCGTCAGGTAAAGCAGGGGCATGTCAGCTAAAGGGTCTCTTACAGCACAAGCTGTCCTGCAACGTACGGGAACAGCGAAATCAGGATATACAAAAGAAGCAGCGTAACAAAGCTGTAGCAGTGTGACAAAGCTGTAGCAGCATGACGATGCAGCAGTATTTGTAATCTCTTGGGACAGCTGTAGCAGCTCATTTCCATCCCGCACTTATAACATCAACATGTGCCGTGATAATGGGGCATGCTGCCGTGGGGCCATGTGCCGTGGGGCATGCTGCAGCAGCCCCACGCAGCATCAAACCCTTTGCAGCAGCTGCCCCATGCAGCAGCAGAGCTAACCCGAACCACAGCAGCAGCACGGCCAAGCAGCACGATGGGCGGTGATGGCGACCGCGCCGTACAAGGAGCTCTGGAATCCTGGGCTGCGACTGATGCACGCAGCGCTGCAGGCATGGCTGCGGCTGCTGCTGCTGCTGCTGCTGCTGCTGCTGATGCTGGTGTTGCTGCTGCTGCTTTTGCTGGTATTGCTGGTGTTGGTGTTGCTGTTGCTGCTGCTGCTGGTGTTGCTGCTGCTGCTGGTGTTGTTGCTGATTATGCTGATGGTATTGCTGGTGTTGCTGCTGCTGCTGGTGTTGTTGCTGCTGCTGGTGTTGCTGCTGCTGCTGGTGTTTTCGCTGATTATGCTGATGGTGTTGCTGGTGTTGCTGCTGCTGCTGGTGGTGTTGCTGCTAACACATGAAATAATTAACAAAATCAGTGGTGCAAAAAGAACTGAACGTCCAAACGTTGCTTGGTGAAAAAACATACCAGTCCCTAGCGGGGACTATAATTATAAACGCACATAGTAAGATAAAAATGTACTGAACAAACAAGGATTCTTAAACTGGCTCTAAAAATACCTGAAACTCACCATGACTGGCAGAGAGGCGGGTACTCATTTACGAAAATCTTTTCCTCTTCAATATAATTTACACAGAAAATATCCTTCTATCCTGAATATTTTCACGCCGATTTACTTTGAAAATCTCCTTCCTATCTTGAAAAATTTCAAGTCGATTTCCCAGAAAATCTTCTTCATGTCTTGAAAAATTTAAAAATTTCCTGTCAATTTACCATTAAAATCTCCCTCTTATCTTGAAAATTTCATGTCGATTTAAACTAAGAATTTTCACCTTCGATATCATCTGAAAATGTCCTATTCGTCATTCACGTCGATCTACCTTGAAAATCTTCTTGTTTGAAATTTAGCACGTTAATTTATCCTGAAAATCTTCATGCCTTGATTTAAACACGTTAATTTATCCTGAAAATTTTCTTGTTTGAAATTCAACACATGAATTTATCTTGAAAATCTTCTTGTTTGAATTAAACACATTAATTTATCCTGAAAAATTTCTTGTTTTGAATATTTTCACATCTATTTACTCCGATAATCTCTGCTTTTCGAAAATGTTTACCTCAACTTAACGATTTTTCCCCCGGTAGCTTGGAAGACTCCGTTAGATGGCACGACATTGTCCACGCTCAGCACGACGCAAATTAGACGAGCAACACAATCACCGGCATTAATCTTGCAAAGTTCGTGGGATGACGAATGCCGGCCACCGCGTTATAACGGGACCATGTCACACTAAGGGAAATGAGTGAGGCTTTGTCCGAATAGTGAAGCATTTTTTGCCTTTCGTGGTGTCATCCTGACTCAGTTTGGGTCAGCAATAGGACTCATCAGTGCTACGTGCGCTCTTTGCATGTGTTGCTGGTAATGAGTGTCAGTGTTTGGAAAATATTGGACAATTTTAGACAATATTGCACAATATATGACAATATTGGACAATATTGAACAATATTACACAATGTTGGATGATAGTGGACAATATTGGAAAATATTGGACAATACTTGACAATATTGAAAAATATTGGACAATTTTGGACAATATTGGACAATATTGGATAACATTGGATAATATTGGACAACATTGGACAATATTGGCAATATTAGACAATATTTGACAATATTGGTCTATTTTGGACAATATTGGATAATAAGATTACGCACTTGCGTCTCCTCATCTCAGGCATCTTGAGGAAGACAAACTTGGATACAAATTTCAAACTCAATCAATATTTTGGATAGATTCCAGCATCAACACGAGCACCATACCCAAGACTTCAATCAAACATTGTATTTATTGTCGCAATGAACGTACTTTAATCATGATTGACTGGCAACGAAGAAATACGAAGAAAAACTTTTTTCCACATTTGTGAAAAAAAGTCGCATACTTTTTTGCGCAAAATATCCATATTCTATTTTCTACATACTACATTAATGTCCATACAAATAGTATGTGCATTCGTTCCATGGATACATTGATCATAATCTGTGATTTCCAATTAGGTTATACTTTTTTTACTTTAATATTTTATTTATTTATTTACTGTTTATTATTATTTGTGTGTCCAGGCGCAGATTCATGCCCACGTAGTTTTTTAAATTGATATTTTATATATTTAGTTATTTTTTATTATTATTTTTTGTCCAGGCGCAGACTGCTGCTCTTAGTTGCTTGCCATAATCCCAGTAACTGGTATCGTTCACCACTGTTTGTGCAGAATAACCTCAGCGTTAAAACCGGATTGTCAACCGATCAGTTCAGACTAGAATCGGTTGTTCTCTTGCTAGAATTTTAGTTTTTAGGTAAAAGATAGCCGAGATCATCCAGGCATGATGGCCGACGGCGGGTAGTGTGGCTTCATGATTTGCATTTCCATTACATTTCTGATGATCAACAGCAATGGCAGCTGCCATCGCACATTTGCATGTAACGGAGAGCCTTCCAGCTCGGTGATTAATTCGTCATTATGGCAACAGTGGTGGCATCATTTTGAATGGTGGCAGTATTCATTTAATATCAGTTCTGGTGGTAATGTAATTATGAATGAGTAAACTTACAGAGCACATATTTCGTTCAGTTACAGATAGCACAATGGAAGAAACGAGAATTGACGTAACGTGGCAGTAAACACTTTCGTTATTGTCTTGGAACGTTGAATAAATAAATAATTGAACAACGTGATCTTCATTTAATTGTTTATTAATTTACACAAATTTTACATATTGCGTCTCGTTTCAATATCTATTTTAAGTACAATCCAATTGGAGAAAACTGATTGATTCCAAATTCGGTTGAATTCGTGATAGAGAATATGTTTATATGTAAGATTTTTGTTCATATAATAAGTAGAAGTTAAATTTTTACGTGCTTTTTGAATTTATAAGAAGCGTCTTGCAAGACAATTTTTGTCAGCTTAAATAATCTCTTGGTAGACAGTAAGACGCTGTTATTCAAAATCTTCTGGCTCTACTTTAGCCTTTGCGTCCATTTTAAACTGGCTAATAAAGACATCAGATCTCGAAAGTTTATTGGACTAGTGCGTGATTACTTGGACTTAAAAGGCCTACATCATGAGAGTAAATAGGTCATATGTAAAGAAAATTACACCAACGAGAATGTTGCGCTGCACCCACGATTTTCCAAAATAGGTATAGTTTAACACTAAGCTAAAAACGTATCAACTACCTCGGGTATTTCAGATTAAAAGTTACAAAGGTAAACTCAGGTTTAAATGCTACAGTGTCATTGCCTTCTAGTTATGCATCACCATTTCATGTTCCACTTGCATCAGAAACGCAGAATTCATACAACTTCTCAATTTTGTTTCACGAAAATTATATTTTTGGTTACTTAACACCTACACAATTTATTGAGTACATTGCCTACATTTCCGTACAATGATGGAAGAACGTAACTTCATTAATTTAAATGTTTTATATTTTTCTGTAATTTCAGAGCAAAACAATTAATTCGTGATTATCATCACTAAATAAATTTTGGATGTGTTGTAATGTATTGATCTCCAGTGATGCTATCGAAACTTTCAGGGCTACATATGCCAGGGAAGATCCTGCATGTTCATTAAAATACTTATGTCATCAAAGATTTATGAAACTTAAGGAGGTTTTGAGCGCCAGAATAATTTTAGTTCTTTATTGAAGAAAAGTGGTTACCCCGAAGGCTCGAGGAAAAGCTCCACAGCTTCTGACTGCATTATTATTGTAAAAATGTATAATTACAGTGAAACTCTCACTGTAAAGTAGAGTACAATTGTTAGACCTTATCAAAGTGTAGAGGAATAAAGAATGATACAATTTAAATACATTCAAAATTTCAAACGGCACCGAAACATTACAACGGAATCTCGTAATAATAATCTCTTCAGACGGGAAGGAAACTTTTTTTCAAATTAAAAAAACGAGAATTATTGTTTTTCAAGACTTGTTATTACTGTGTCAAGATTTTTTATCGAAACAACAATTATTATTTTGACTCCATGATTCACAAAAAGTAATGGTAGAACGCTTCAAGCTTCCCCGTTTGTGGCTTGCAAAGACGTAATTCAGTCCAAGCACGATAACTATCCCCTTAGCCCCGCAGCATTGGTTGTCGGTAGTCGAGCTGCGTCTCTAGGACCTGATCATGATAGGAATCATAATCAGTAGCATCTGCATAATCTCATAATTTTTTAATAACTTAGAGAGCTGAACGGTTTGATTACCTGCACTCCGTGGAATGCACTTCAGCCTTGAATATTTAATTTGTAGTGCTAGCAAGCACCCATAAAAAGAGACATGGCTCCAATGAGAGCAGAAGATGTGTCCTGTTATTATGCATATTATGCATATTATTATGCATATAATTAGAAGAAGGTATCATCAAGCAATGTAACAACATAATTATAATGTTTGAACCGAATTTAGTTAGACCGTACCCATTGTGCCTCGTATTATGTGTATATTGAGACTCATGTGAACATTTACATTTAAGCGATCAGATACTCGAATGAACATTTGCGAGAACATGACCTAAATGATAATGTATTTGTGAATGGATTCATATTCCATTCAAATGATGAAGTAGAGCAGTGTTACTGTCTTAAATGATCGAACAGTGTTCAAGCATCTTAGTTGCCCCTGTTGATCCGAATGAGAAAGTAGCAAGTTACGTTTTTTCTCATTTCAATGTCATTTTAAAATTGCAGTTTCCTGTGCCATGTTAATGTATTTTTAAAATTGAATTGTAAAAAATTTCTTCTCGCTATTAAATTATATTTCCAACTAATGAAGGCAGTTGCCCAGAATTTTATCGCAGTTTGTTTGTACTCTTGAATTTATCAGGATATATGCCGCAGCATGTGACTGTACGTAGATAATGTAATCAAGTAAACTTTATTTTGTCAAGACACTTTACACTCTCACAGGTGGAAACCTCCTGGCAAAGCAACTAGGTTAACCAGCAGAATAGATCAGCAAAATTGATCA